GGTTCTTTTAATAAAATGTGACATTGTTAAATAGTATAAATAGTAATGTCCTTTCAAAGTCGCACGGGTTTGCTTCTCATTTCCTTGATAGAAATATCCATGTGAACACATAGCTGCTTCACTTTATTGATTTCCTCGTAAAAATTTCAGGACATCACGCTATCGGATGTCGAAGATGCAGCTCCTATGACAACATTGCTTGAGGACAGTGATACAGAAATTGAAGTTGATTAAGGATCCAAATGCTTAGGAGAGACACGATATTTCAATATTAAAAATGTGTTTTTATTGTATGTTTAATTGAAGACAACTGCACATTAACCGCAGACTTTTCTTTTTAGACAAAACATTTCACAATAGCAAACGCATAATTTGTTAGAATTGTTCTATTGCAGAAATAAAATACACTTTTTGACGACACAAGTCTTAAGAACGTTCGCAAAAAGTAGTTTTCTATAAGGTTTTTGAATTTTTAAGTTGCAGTTTTGTTTTAAATAGAAATAAAGATAGTGTCATTTTGAGGCTTAAAATTGATAAACGAAATAAGCGCCCAGCTTCAAATAAGCGCCCCCCTTCGAATTAGCGCCCCCCTCTCGCCTTAGAAAATTAAATAAGCGCCACGGGCGCTAACTCGAGCATTTACGGTGCTATCGACGTACCAAATCATACCAAATTACTTCAAATTTCGTGATTATGCTATGAGTACCGTGTCTTGTTCTACGTAGCCGTACAACGCTAGAAAGTCCAATGCAGTTGCAGCAGCTATTTCATAACACCTTTATTCTGATTCCTAAGGAACCGGTCATTTTTCATCGCCAAGAGATGATAATCTCTTGTTATCGTCTAAAGGGGCGGAGGAAGGGGGGGTAGTGTGTCACGATAAAATTTATCTGATCTAACGATAAGGTTCTGTAATATACCCCACCTCACTGAAGGTTAATTGGCAGTCAATTTACAGTTTTCCCTAACCCCTTTTATACTCTGTTGGAGAAGACGGACTCCCATCCGTTCCCCCGATAACCATGTGATTTCCTAAAATCCTCTCCTCCCCTTCCCCCCTGATAAATTAAGACTTGTCTCTCAATCGTAAAAAGAAAAAGAATCCATAAAGACGAGATAGACAAAATGAAAAATGAATGAATAAATTCTTGCCGTTTTCCTTTGGCATGGTCTGAAGTGTAAATCTCTTGGATGTAAACCGTGATGTTGTTTGGATAAACTAGTCGTTTCAACAAAAACAGTCATTGAAAACACTGAAAGAGCCTTCAGGCAAACATCATGATTTTTAACGTGTAAACATTTATCTAACAAAAGGCCTGTTGCTGCTGGGATGAATCAGTGGAACGAATTTTTATTAGGATGATGATCCTCGCGACACAACTGAGGCATATGTAAATGTGAATAGCTTTAAAGTGATAGTAATACAAAAAATAATTTGGTTATATCAACTAAGTTGAAATTATAAATTGACCACCGTAGAGTTAAAAAGCTGACGTTTCGAGCGTTAGCCCTACGTCCTTCGATCTGACGGAGGGCTAACGCTCGAAACGTTAGCTTTCTAACTCTTTATGGTGGCCAAATTACAATTTCAACTTAGTTGATATAACCAAATTACCTTGTTACCCCCACTGACGCAGCACCACAGTTTCTTTAGGAACTTACCCCCTTTATTACAAAAATAGTCTAGCAAATGACAAAAGCCAACAGTAAAATGTGGGGTCTGCAGGGACTACTTCCGTTCATAAGTATATGCATTATTTTTGCCACTCTATCAGAATAACCAGCTGTTTCTTAAGCAATGAACAGAAAGTTAATTATTTTGTTGCAATACGGTAACGTCAGTGATATTTACTCCTGCTCAAGGTGATGAATTTGACAACAGTAAAATACATCAATAAAAACACGCTATTCAGTAACTAAGACTGCTGAAATTGGAAGACCAAACCAGCGGAGACGATCCATGTTAGAGTATGACTTTCTCGAAACGTCAAACAGTAACTGTTCTGTTTGTTATCGATTTGTGGTGTGCTGGTAAGTTTTATTTGTTCTCCGTTTTCCTGGTGATGAATTTATACATTCGATAAAGACAGTCGTTCAAACTACACTTAAGGAGCTCAAGAGTTTGGGTTACACATTACAGAGGGACATTACACCGTGAACAGTATTTTGATATCATTGTGTATCATTGAACTGCAAACGCACATACGTGCAATATTGTATGCAAAATCCAATTCTCTAATTGCGCAACGCGGCCATTCCCCGAAATATCTGAATAGGAAAAAATAACGCAGAAAGCACAATGTGTTTTCCTTTCTTACTTGCACAAGGGTGAGATAAATAAGAGGAGGCATCTACAGACAAGTATGTTTATTCATTTTGTTGTATTCACTCCTGCATCATGTGTGTTATTTCTTGGTAACAAGAATATACTATTTGGTAATGCGTCTCGGTTGACACAAACAAACAAAGGCGAAGTTACGGTAATAAAGGTTCTCGAGAGGTTTATTTAATACTAGCAATAAAAATATATTCCCATCCTCCTCATAGATACTTTCTAGTTTACAAAGAAATGTTTCAATTAAATAACATTGCATTTCTTAGAAAACTCGTTGACTGAGAAAGCTAAAACATGGGGAACAGCGACCCATGCTTAAGCATATAACTGAGAAACAGTTCAACCGTTGAACCAGCTAGGATAAAAAACTTTGCAATTTTCTAAATGTAATTATCGCAAAGAATTCTTATCATGATAAAGAGTCTGTCTCTTAAAGGAAGCCTCCGGATGATCTTGATGAAGCCCATATAAGCCGCGTCATCTTCACTGAAACATCGGTTTGAAACTAAAAAATATTATCACGATTGTTTAACATGACAGATTCAAAGCGGAATGTAAAAAGGCTAAAAAATTCATAATCTGATGTCTTTTTCAAATAATGGCACATTTGTTTTTTCCTGAGTGCAATATGTTATATTTTTGCATCATGATGCAAAACTGAGAGCACATCAACATGGCTGACGCGAAATAGGATTCTTTATATAATAGAACCTAATGCGATTCACGTCACTAGTGATGGATCATAAATTCCCAAGTTCTTGTTTCACTACCGATGGCTATAACTTGAAACTGATGAAGATTCATTGTTGCTAAGTAGTCATTCCATTTAGCGCCGGAATAGCCTGAAGGGACTCACAAACAAGTGTAATAAATAAACCATACATTCATTCAATATCAGCTAATAAGACCATGTATAACATAATCTCCTGAACAGAATCTTAGGCAGAAGGGAATTATCGCTGAGTAATTTAAGTTATTAGCTCAATTGAGTTTAGCTCTAGTTAACTGAGCTGATACGTGATATCATGAGTATTATTTCTAACTGTCTCCACTACTGATGACTACCCCCATCAAACTGATTGAGATTCATTATAGCTAAGTATTCACTTAGTTTAGCCGATAGCCTAAAAGGATACAAAAACAAGTGTAATAAGTAAACCGTTCGTTTACCACTAGCTAATAAGGCCGTTTATTATATTGCTGGCAGCGCAACGTCTTGTCCTTTTTCTAAGTTTTTACGGACCTCTACCTCGTCTCGTTTCATAAAAAAAAAGAACATGGCCAATATCCAGTTATCTTGACCTCACGCTTGGTTAATAACGCATATTTATAACAGCTTTTCTCAAAAGAAGAAGGAAATTATCGCTGATTGAAGTCATCACTTGAAAGTTTTTTTGTCGCCTAAGGTAAAACGAATAAAAATGAGGTCATAAGAAAAAAGAAAAATGATGATAAGGCAAAAGCCTCGTCATTCGGAGGAACCGCTAAACATAACAACATTAACAGCCTTTTAAACCGACTCCTCCCCACAAAAATATTGATATGCATTGCGTAAAATGTATGTTAGGATAATAAGAGTATTTAGCCTGATAATCGAATATTATTCGTCTGTCTGAATGGATTGTGTAGGCTTCAAATGTTGAAAGTCAGGGTAAGTGATATCAACTACTAAGCCTACGTGAGTCTTTATAGAAATCAAGTGTGTCTAAAGAGATCGTGAACAAGGAGTGGAACCCTATTAAGGATACTTACTTTTGTCCTTCCATTTTCAAAGAGTAAACGATGTTAAAACCACTTAATTGTTTAATTTTGCAGTCTCTTAACTTTCGCATGAACCCATTTTCACATCCATTTGACCTTTATAATTAATTCATAAGCGTCGTATAACCAGCAGTTGCTATGTCCATCTAGACTGAGCGCCTAATAAAGCTGTTTACCTGAAGATGGTAGAGAAACAACAGGACCAATATTTTTGCGATGAAGCATGATGACATAGCGATGTTACCCCGGAAAATGCGATCAGTTTTGTTGTCAGTGAATAAGGGGATCCCTTTACTACTGATACCCATTACCTCGATCTATTGAAGTGGTATGCTGGGTTAAGAGGGTTCCCAAATGTCCTTTTCAATAATGATATACAGCTTCGCTGCTTTCTCAGCCTTATTTCTCTTACATCTTACAGTGCTTTGCAAAGAGTACAGTCGCATGATAGTATTCAAGGAACCGGTGCCAAACAAAGCGCTGAACGGACACGTGATAAGACAGGAAAAAGTGTTCGACGAAGGAAGCTGTCGCGTATTCTGCTACTTGGAGCCAAACTGTGTGTCCATCAATGTAGGACCTCAAGAAGATGGCGGTAGAATTTGTGAATTAAACAGTAAAACGGATGACAGCCTATCACACTCAGCGGTGCTGCAAAAGAACCGATACACTTACTTTGGAATTGAGGTAGGTCGGACATAAAAGAATTGTCGCATCATTTTTTTTAGGGATTATAATAAATCTCTTATTAACCAAGCTTGCTCGGGACCGTACTGGAAGAATATCTGCCCTCGGTCTTTTTTGTAAGGACCTCGCTGCGCTCGGTCCGTACTGTCAAGACCTCGGGCCAATATTCTCCCAGTACGGCTCTCGCGCTCGGTTAATAAGATTTTTTGTACAAACCCGCTGCTCAGTGAATCTATTTATCTTCAGTACTTGTCACTGCGATATGTAAAACTGGAATCCTGGATGGTTGATTACTACATGTATTGATGCTATTTTCTGATCCAGAATCCTTGCCACAGCAACCCTTGCGCCGGAGAGGGTAAATCATGTCAAGCGGGATTCACTGACAAGGGCTTCCGATGTGTTTGCCGCGAAACGGGCGAAGAGGAAAACTGTAAAGGTACTTGTAGTTACCAATACTGTGCGGGTTGCCTCAATTTTTGATCAAGCTATTGCATATAAATTGTTTCCACCTTTTGATCTCTGGGAGCCACAAGTGTCTAATTTCTCCTGACCATATCACCCCCCAATCACATATTAGGGACCTTAAGAAACCACGACGGCGACGGCAACGAGGACGTGGAAAAACAAGAGATGTAATTGGCAAAACAATAGCTCAGCACGTGCGTTTTGAAACTTTGCAAAACGTCCTATGCAAAACAACAACGTGAAATCGCCAAAATTTGGGTCGTCTGCGAACCGAAACCGCGACAGCAAATTATTTGATTTCCCATTAGGAACTCAACGGCTACTTTATACGTCATGCTGAGGTTGAGCTGTGGCACTGTATGAGACAGTAAGCTCCTGGAGCCATTTTTGAAATTCTAACTAGGAGCAGAAATTCATTTTTCAATCGAAGTCTTCCTTGGCGTCGCCGTCGTGATTTCTTAAGAGGGCCTTTAAGCAAACCACGACGTCGACGGCAACGAGAACGTGGATAAACAATAGTTCTAATTGGCAGAACAATAGCCCAGCACGTGCGTTTTAAAACTTTGTACATTTCTTAGCCGTCCTTTGCAAAACAACAACGTGCAATCACCAAAATTTGCGTCGTCTGCGAACCGAAACCGCGGCGCAAATTATTTTAATTTACGTTTGGAACTTAACGCTTCTTTTATGCGTTATGTTGAGTGTGAGGTCTGGCGCCCTATGAGACGGTAAACACATGCAGCCATTTTCGAAATTCTAACTAAAAGTAGAAACTCATTTTTTAATCGACGTCTTCTGTGGCGTTGCTGTCCTGACTGCTTAAGGTCCCTAAGGTCCATAATAAGGTCCCGAGAGTAAAGGAAATGATCCCCAACTTAAAAGGCTGTCGATTGTTAACTGAAACAGTTCTCCTTGTAAGCATCTTTAAAGAAAAGTATGGAGAATGTGCAATCTGCATGTTATGGTGTAAAGAGAAAATCCATAAAAATGTATGTGTTCGTCTTTAAAATCAACCTCAGTAAAGACAATGTAAGTAAGCATGTAAGTTTTGATGACGTACTAAAATTAACCCGTTAAATTCTCGCCCTTTCGATTTTAACACATGTGACAAAGCAGGAGGTCATCCTTTTGCCTTACAGGGGTTTCAATAATCGAATTTAAGCTTTCACGGCCAACAAGACACAAGACCAATTAAGGAGAGATGTATGAATTGTAATTCTATTTAGTGCAAACTCATGATAAAGAATAGAATTTGAATGATAATGAAGGCTCTGCTGTTTTATTACATTGATTTCATTAGTATGCCCTCCCAATTGGAAATCGTATGGAACATCATGTTATGCTGTATTCGCCACCAAGCTTTCCTGGCGAGATGGAGAAGCACACTGTAATTCAATGGATGCACGACTGGTGAAGATTACCTCTGAGAATGAGGTTGCCTTTATTCGGGGTGACGATCTTGGTGCCAACTCTCAAAATACAGCCTACTGGATTGGCCTTTATGAAAAAGAGTTCAATAATCATTGGAAATGGTCCGACGGAAGTGAACTGGGTGTGTTTACCGACTGGAATTTAGGAGAGCCAAACTTAGCGTCCAAAGCTTGTGCCGTGTTGTTTGATGGAAAGTGGCGTGACAGAGGTTGCTCAGATGAATACGAATTAATTTGTGAGAAATGATTAAAATCATTGGAACCACGGTGTACTCTGTTTTGGTATGGCTATGCTACAAGTACAGTGTGGGATGCGGCTCGAGACATTACACGCACTTCTTAGTACACCAATCACTGGCCTAACATTGAAAATCGGAGAGAAGTGCCGCCGGCTTAGCAATACTCCTTTTAGCTTTAATTCGAGCGTAATTAAAGGCTCTGTTCTGTTTTGTTTTGTTATGACTCACAAACTTTGTCACGCGATTATAAAGAATAAAACAAAAAGGCTAACTAAAAATTGTGCTATCCAATAACCCAAACAGCTTAGAAACAATGAACACATCTAGCCATTAGCAAAATTCGCAAGAAGGATGTAACTCCATCAGTTTTTCGAAACGAATGCTCGTAGGTTCTTTATTTCGTGTTTGCCGCCTGACAATCTCGAGGGGATGCCTGTTAACAGGAAGAAAAGCAGTTTCATTCTAGGACACATACAATGCAGCAGCAACTGATTCATAGCGCTTTTTCTTAATACTTTTTCTGAAAATCAAAATAATTCCGAGTTTGGACTACCTTTACAAAGAACTGAATAACTGAAACAGAGAAATTAATCATCGCCGTTTACAGCGTTCGCATGGACATAGAAGTATGATAATCTCTCCATTGTAAAGCGTTGCATTGTTTGAGAAACCTGCCATTTTGAACAAAAGCAGTAACTTTGATAATCAAAACTCTGAATTCTAAGTTATTTACTAGAATGAAACCCTCAAGGGGCTGCGAGACAAATAACAGTCAGACATTGCAAAATATGAAAGTCTGTCACGAAAAAAAAAATGACTGCGACAACGTTGTTTAAGATGGTGATCAAATCGGCTCAAAATAGGAAAGAGCAATTGTGAAATTCTCTCTTTTTAATGGAAATATGGATACTCGCGAAAATTCCCGAGTCTAAGTCAAAAGAAAAATAAGAAAAACAACCAACCAAAGTGGCGTCGGCGCACACGAGGTGACTAGTCCCTGCGACTGGTCCCAGCGACCATTTTCATGCGACTAGTCCCTTCGTGTGAACTACACATTTCTGTGGTCGCACGGATCAAAATTTGGTCAGGGAATTGTCGCACGAAAAAAATGTTTGTCCCTTCGTGTGAACTGTTTGTGCGACCAGTCCCTGCGACTAAACGGTAAATAAGGCAATCACGGGTCAGTTTGATGCGTGAATTCCGGTATTTGTAAACATTGCAGTTTCTATGAATTTTCCCTGAATTCTAGATTTCTACAACTGAAGAATAAAAAACTATTTCTGGTTTTGTAAACATATAAAGAGCCGTTTTGATGGAATTTTTACCCTATTTGACCGGGTGTCTGTTAAAAATAAAAAAAAAATAAAAAAAAAAAACGGAACACGTAAAAGCATGAATAATCCGACTGAATAAGTGTAGTTCATTTGCGTTGATTTTTAATAGGGCTACAATGAAAAGTTACCAAATTTTCATTGTTTTCGTGTAACGCCCCAGACTAAGAAACATCTTTTGCCTCTTAATTTTCCTATGTTCTTGTGCAATTGAGTGCCCTCGTGTGAACGCCTTTAGGGACTAGTCGCAGGGACTAGTCCCCTCGTGTGTGCCGGCCTTCGCATGTGTTATCAATGATGTTTTCACTTAGTCCTGATCCATTCAGAATCCATTGTTTTAGAAACAGGTGGCCGCCGGGCTTCAGGGCAACGATCCTTCGGGTTTCGTGGAGCCGAGGCATGGAACGAGCTTTCAAAATCCATTAGGGACGCTACCTCGTTGAATAATTTTAAATAGAATTTATTGGAACTGTTTAAGGAATTTTAAGATTTCATCCTTTCAATTGTATATAAATTTTTAGCTTTCATTATTATATTCTAGTTTTATGTCCATGTTGATACTATTTTAAGTATTTAATTTATGACTATTTTCTACCGCTTTGTGGCTGAAAAGTCCCTATGGGCTATGGGGGAGCTTCAATAAATGAATGTATGTACTAACAACAACATATTGTGTCAAAGTGTTTGGGAACACTCGGATAGAGATACCCTAACCAGTGTTATAGTATCAAGTTAGAGAATGGGTGGATCTAGACTGCTTTTGACATTCATCGCTTCGATTTTTTTCGAGTTGTGGTGCACTGGTAAGTTTTCCGGCATTCTAAAATCTGTACCAATTAGGTAAAATAAATTGTTCCATAAACTGAAAAAAAAAATATCGGATATAATTGGCAAGAAGAATAATCGGTTATGTACTTGTCAGGCCAGTGTAGGTTACAGCAACAAATGTGGAAACAGAAGTTAGGCTGTTTAGTTGTCATTATTATGTATCATTATACTGCCTACGAGAATGAAACCAAAGCGAGACTACATCCTTTTTTCAGTTCTCTGTAATGTCACAGTGAGTTAATTCAACCTGGATCCCCCTAAGCATCCATAACGATAAAAGTGTGTACACGAGCTTGAGAAAATGAGAAAAAAACGTCAGGATCGAACTTCGTTGAAAAGGGAAAAAGCGTCAAACGCTTTCTTGTTTATCATCTAGGTATGAAAGATTTCATTAAAACAAGCGTGCAAAGTTCCTTCTTCCATTGCGTCTTTTGGTCCCTGTAAACAGGAAGACTTTTTTTTACAATGAAATGATATTTTAAAAAATTTAAGGTTACCGTGCAACTTCAGGGGTGTGTCGCGTGAAAGCGATGTAGCGCGTCCGGTTTAAACTGTAGATATTTAAATCCCTATGTTGTGTCGGTCGCATGACCTGAGGGGGTTATGACACGTGGAGCGAGGAGCGAGGGATGTCGATTGAATTCGTTTGTTGTTAGTTATCTTATATGTGATTAAAGAGACGTAGTTACGGACAGAATACAACACTGGCGACGAGGATGTTCAGTACCTTCGCATAAATCAACATGGCAGCGTGAAGTGTTGAATTTGGAGGAATTTTGCCGTTGGACTGTAAAGGCGCGATTACCTCAGTTGCTCCTCGGTGAAAAAAGTGGAAAAAATCATTTGAATATTACCTCTTAGCAAAAGGACTCACCAACAGCGCTCGGAAAAAAGGTTTGCTGTTACACTGTGCTGGTAGTGAAGTGCAAGAATTATTCGAAACCCAGCAAGATCCAGGACCGCCGGCAGATGTAGGTGAAGACAATGCTGACGAATATCCGAAAGCCCTACGCACACTTGATGCTCATTTTAGCGCGCGTTTAAATGAGCCATACGAAAGACACGTCTTCAGAGATCTCAGACAGGAGGGAGGAGAGACGATCGATCAATTTATTACTCGGTTACGACACCAAGCAGAAAATCGTAATTGGGATAACACAGACGAGCCGATTCGCGATCAGGTCATCGACAAGTGCAGATCAGATGACTTTCGGCGGAAACTATTGTTAAAGGGAACCCATCTGACTCTGGAAAAGGTGTAAGAAATCGCTCGATCTTTTGAGGCAGTAGATATTCAGTTGAAAACGATGAATGGTGTGGAAGATGATCGTCAACAAGTTAACCGTATCGAACGTGGAGAAACCGCTGTCCAGTTCAAAGGAAGAGAAACGAAAGCCAAATGTTATCGTTGTGACAGAGAAGGTCATTTTAGTCGTGACAGTTGTCGTCCAGCAATAAAAGCCGAGTGTCAGAGGTGTCACAAGATAGGACAAGATAGGACATTTTGCTAAGGTTTGCCAAACCAAAACTGTCACCAGAAACAAGAGATTTTGTCCACCAGATGTGCCAGACAAAAGGAGATCGAATGTGAACTCGATTGATGATGACAACTTGAGAGTTGAGAGCGACGATGACGAGTACGCATTCACTGTGGGCAGTGGAACAGGTGGGGTGATAAATCTGTTAGTCGGAAGGAATTCTGTGCGAAGGCTTATTGACTCTGGGGTAAGCACTAATGTGATTGATAAAGGAGCATGGGAGGAGCCAAGATCCCAGAAGATTGAATGCAAATCCTATAGGTGCAAAAAGAAGCTGTATGCTTATGGGAGTAGTGTGCCTTTAAAAGTTATCGGTTGTTTCGAAGCAAGAGTAGTCCTGGGTGACAAAGTTTGTGAGGCAGAGTTTGGAGTGATTGATGGGACAAGACAGCCCCTGTTGCGGAGAGGTACAGCAATCAAGCTTGGAGTGCTTCAGATAGGAAGTTCCATAAACTCTGTAAGCAGTGACATTGTAGAAGAATTCAAAGATTGTTTTACAGGAGTAGGAAAGCTAAAAGGATATCAGCTTAAGTTGCATTTAAAAGAGAATGTGGCACCGGTGGTTCAGCCTCTACGCAGACCACCATTCAATCTTAGAGAAAAAATCGAGAAGAAATTAGACGAGCTTGAGAACATGGACATCATTGAGAAAGTAAACAGTCCATCTCAGTGGGTCAGCCTTGTAGTTGTAGTCCCAAAACCCAATGGGGAAGGGAGACTTTGTGTAGACATGAGACAAGCAAATTGCGCGGTAGAACGTGAACGATACCCCATTCCAACCATTGATGAAGTACTTCAAGACATGAACAACAGTAAAGTGTTCAGCAAGTTGGACTTAAGATGGGGCGGTGACATCAAATTGAATTATCTGAAGAATCCCGTGAGATTACCACATTCATCACACACAAAGGTCTGCACCGATATAAAAGATTGATGTTTGGGATATCATCAGCTCCGGAGAAATACCAGCAGATTATCCAGCAGACATTGCAAGGTATTGAAGGGGTACACAATATCTCAGATGATATTATAGTGCATGGTGCAACACATGACGAGCATGATGAACGTCTGCGAAAAGTGATGATGCGTGTACGTGAATGTGGCCTTACCCTCAACTTAGAAAAGTGCCAATTCTCCATGAGTAAGTTGACATTCATGGGCCATGTCCTGTCAAGTCGAGGAGTGGGTGTGGCCACTGGCAAAGAGAAGGCAGTAGTCGATGCAAGAGAACCAGAATCGGTTTCAGAAGTCAGGTCATTCTTAAGTCTAGTAAATTACAGTGGAAGGTTTATTCCAAATCTTGCGACACTGTCAGAGCCACTGCGAAGACTGACAAAGAAGGATGTTGTGTTCCAATGGGGATCAGAGCAAGCAGCAGCATTTCAGAAGCTGAAAAATGAACTGGCTCGAGCAGAGGTTCTTGGATATTACGACAAAGATGCTGAGACTCGTGTAATCACTGATGCAAGTCCTGTGGGTTTGGGCGCCGT